TTAGGAAGACGGCACTGAAGCATGCTTGATACAAGTGGAACACTCCAGAAATGAGACCCATTGAAATCAAGCTGTTTCAAGTACTTTTCCCAAAAGGTGGCAGGGGGAAACGTGGCCACTACTTACTGTGACTGTGTCCTGACTCAGGAATCCAGAGAGGCTCCCAGTCCCATAGTGGATGGCAAACTCAGTGCCGTTCTCCACATAGGTGCTGGATTTGGATGCATCATACTTGTGGTGCAGCACTGCAAGCAGGGAGGGGAAAAGATGGACATGAGCATTAATGTTCCTCTACACATCAAACAGGCTTCAGTCACAAGAAAAACACACCTCAAAAATGTACCAAGAACATCTGCTATTTGCCTCCCCAGTGTTAACCACAATATAACTTCTGCTCCTCAATACTCAGCTACACAGCATGCCTGGGGCACACAGACACAAGCTGCAAGGGCCAGCTTGAATGTAATGAGAAGGTCTGAGAATCAGGCAGGGAGATCCAATTTGGCACTTCAATAGGATTTGGCCACAGTGCATTAAGAGCCTGGACTATACATGGCTGGCATGTCAGGGCACATTAGACAACAGGGAGGCAGATGTCCTGATGGCTGCCCGTCATGCCATGGAGAGCTGGGTGGCTCTGAATATACTCTGCTCTGGACACAAACACTTGAACTTAATGGTCTTATCAAGGCAAGTTGGAAATCTGTATGTCCATTTTTGCTTACACAGACAGAAGAAAAACAGTACTGTTTTCCAACAACCTATGCTGTTTATGTTATAGGGGTGTACAAGACAGGGCACAAGTTCAGATTCCCTCTCCGCCCTTGACAGCCATTGGAGGTCACCTCTCACACTTGCTTTTGTTGGCCCCATGGAGTTCCCCTTGCCACTTAAGCAGCACAGATAGTGGTTTCTTTACGGCATTTCACCATAGCTGGGTTTGAAACCTGCATTCGTGGAGGTTTATTTCATAGTAACATCACAGAGCAGAGGAAAAAATAAAGAATGTAATTCCTTAGATGTTCTCATCACAGAGAAGAGTGACTACCTGGTTCATGTTAATTATAAAACCCATAAACATGCAGTCACATGCTCCATGCAGCAATAAAACAGAAACTAGGACAGTTTATATCAGATCTGGCAAGAAGCTGCCCTTTCCCCCTCCCCCCCCCAGCCATTGCGCAATGAAACAAGTCTATAATTTGGGGAGAAACCCAGCAACCTGAGGAAGCATTCATTGGTTCCCAGACACAGGAGTAAGGCTGCTCAGGAAGGCTGGGCTCATGCGTGGGCAACAGGGAGCAGCTTTAGGAGAGAGGGTGTGAACCAGAGGGGCAGAGAAGGCTTGGCACCAGCCCAGACCTCTCCTCCCTCCCTCCAGGAGAATCAGCAGAGTCTATCAGCTACTTTGCTATAGCCAAGTCGTCCTTTCAGCAGGAGAACATGATGATGATGCAAGCTAGGGGCTTCCAGTTCATGGCAGGGGCAGGTTCATTATGTTAGTTTCTGCATTGGCACTGCACAGGGAAAGACAAGCTGTGACACTTACAACAGGCGATGTCCAGTAGGTGACAGTGCACTGATGGCACCCAGAGGTTGGAGGAGCCTGTGTCAAAGACCACAGTGAACTTCTGCGGGGGGGTCCCAATGCCAATCTCACCATAATACTGGGCCTGCAAAAGAGAAAAGAGCCCTGTGAACAGAGGTGCTCAGTGATAATGGAGTGCATCCCACAAAGCCACCCTGACTTGGAGAGATAACTGCTGCAGTAGCATGGGACGGGCACAAGGAACCCTCATCTGGTACCCACACCCATGGGTGGAGGGGGGGGGGGGTGTCCTGGTGATACAAACACTCCCAAGCAAATGCAACAGCATATAATAGCAAAGAAAATAATGACATCTTCCTCAAAGCTTTCTTCAGGACTGGCTTCTTATGTAGACACTGCCTTTGCCCCATTCATGAGAGTGATGGGCTCTACAAATGTCCAAACATAACTACAGTGGGTAGGAAAAGTATAAATGAGGAGGAGAAACAGGATGGGCACTTGTAGTGAGGACTGAAAGCATGGAAGGGAAGAAGGTGTGCAGGCAGCAGCACAGCTCACAAAGGGGAAGAAAAAGCTGTGAGGAAGGCAGGGCAAGCACCTGCATTGATGAAAAGCCAGAACAGCATGAGTGGCTGGGAAGCTGCTGTGCTGGCAGGTCTGGGGAGGAACTGCAAGTCACATTGAGCTATACCCACTGATGCCATGGGGGTTTCAATTCTGCTGGTGAGCCCCGGGTTGCAGGAGCAGAACCAGTACTTGAGTTGGGTGTGATCAGTTTGGGGGGAAGCCTCAGAAACAGGATTAAAGGATTATCAGAGGTGCCTGTTCCAAGTGCACCTTCTGAACACTTGGTTTCTCACTGAGTAATTAATAACTCATTGCCACTAACTGCAGCAAGGAGCCAGCACTCACTTCACTACTTCTGGGGTCAGCCCACCTAAAAATAACTGACTATAAGCTTCCACTCTGTCACCAAGGTCAAATCCCCTCTGACTGACAGAACATTTAAACTCACCCATGCACAGGTTACTATGAACAACAGCCAAATCAGCTGCCCTGCAGGGCTGTGAGACATGGTGGCCCCATAAATCCCATACACAGACCAATGAAAGTGACCTGTGGGGAACCACATGAGGTGGCTGTCTGTTTCCTGCAGCTCTTCCAGCAAGTAGAGCTCTTCTCAGGCTCTACTAGATTCAGAGAGTGCCAGCAGACACTTACCCAATATCACAGGTTTGCTTGGTCCTTTTGACTGCTTCAAGATGCCCTACTTGAGGTGGGCACTTCCCCTTTCTTCCTGAACCCAAGACTGCACTCCAGCTGCAGCCATGTATGTTCTGGAGCAACACCTGAATTCTTGCCAAGGTTATTTAGCTTGGCAGTGTTTCAGCACACTGAAGTACAGGGCAAACACCTGAGTCCTGGTAGCACAGCACCCCAGCCCCATGCCACGCTGGGGCTGGTTTCAACACCACTGCTTGAACAATCACAACCCTTCCTTATGGGATAGGGCTCAATAAGGGCCTGGGGAGTAGTACCAGCACCTTCCCTGTCCCCAGGTGAAGGCTGTGCGTGGGATAGATGCATTTGTGATAAGATCTCATCTGCACTACCTGGGATCTTCTTTCAATGCTAGTTCTACTATCAGGGTGTGGAAACATCCCTGCATCCACCAGAGGTTTGTTCCAAGGCCACTCAGAAGGAGAAAGCAGGGACAGGTTTGGCACCTGTGCACGACAGAGTGCAGCACAGCAATGCTAGGAGCACTACCAAGACTGCAGGTCCATATGTACAACTACCACACACAGCAATTAGTGGGAAAGAAGGAAGGAAATAGGTCACAGAGCAGCAAATCCAGCAGCTCAGTGGCACCATGCTTATTATTTTTAACTTCTTAATGATGTTAAGCAACTGAAAGGTTTGGCAACGGTCCTCTGAGCTGCAGCAGGTGGCACAGCTCTGCCAGGAGCACTGGGGCCAGCCAGGAGAGCAGGGCTGGGTACTCACATCCATGTAGTTCTTGAGGATTTCCGGAGTGGGCTCGGCCAGATCAGCAAAACCCAGCTTGAACTTGAGGAACTGGGTGATGGCATTCATGTCGGGGATCTCACTGCCCACCTCGGTCAGCATGCGGCGCGTGGAGGTGAATTTGGTAAGAGGGATCCTGTGGGACAGGGGAGAACAGCTGGTTACAGGGGCTCTGCTGGCTGAGCACCCACCACGCTTCCTACCCCCTAAAGAAGATGGCCCAGCCCCAGCAAGACGCAGATAGGGCAAGCAACCCTCGATTCCTAAGCACCTCACGGCACACCCAACCCCAAAAGACGGGGAGAGCCCCAAGCAGCGGCAGCCTCACCTCAGCAAGGGGAGACCTCGAGGAAGGGCCGCGCAGAGCCCCAGCACAGCACAGCCCCAACCCCGCAGCACCATGAATCAGCAGCGCCAGCCCTCCGCACGCCGCCCCGCAACCCCTCACCTGATGAGGGCCGTGCAGGGCCCCGCCAGAGCGAGCAGCAGCAGGACAAGCAGGCCGCGGGGCGCCATGGCGGCGGAACGCTTACAACGCGCTGCTCCCCCTAATACAGAAGCGCGGAAACCGCCCCGCCCGCGCCCCGCTTTTGTAGCGGCGGCCCCAGGCCCGGCGCGGAGCGTCAGCTGACGGGGCGGCCCCGCGTCACGTGCGGCGGGAGGGGCGGCGCGGCACGGTGCAGCGCAGCGCTGCACAGCACTGCACGGCTCGGGGGGACGGCGGCAGCGGGCCGCCGCCTGACCCTGCGGCCGTGACTCAGCCTCGAGGGAGGCGGGGGGGGGGGGGGGGGGGGAGCGGTCACGAGCTGGCGGTGCTGGTTTTTATGTTTTTTAATTTTTTAATTTCTGTTATTAGATACGCTCCTCCCTCTCCCCCCCCCTCTTTTTAACTTTATGGTTTTTTAAACTTTTTTTTTTTCTTTTCCAATTTTCCTCCCTTAACTTGGCGTTGCTTTCAGTACGCCCAGCTCTCCTCTCGCCCTCCTCGCTCGAACCCTACGGAGCAGCGCTGTCCCCACCCCAAGAACGTATGGGGCTCTCAGCCCTCGCTACTGAGAAGCTGCAATGTGTCGCCGGCACCCCCAGCTCCACTAGGGCTCCAATGGGGCTCTGTGCATCAGGTGCCCCTCCTGCCCCTCTCCCACGCCTTCATCCCACCTTGCCCTCCCACCACTCCTCTGCTGGAGGGGTGTGTTTTTGGTCAGCCCGGTGCCCCCTGCTAGGGGCTGGCACCTGTGGCTGTGCAGTTCTCCGTGTAGTGGTCCCTCAAGCCCATTTTGTGAGTTGCCCTAATGCTTTTGCTAGGGGAATTGTCAGGGGGGGTATTAGGAATCTCCAAAAAAGCAGTGGTGCACTGGCACAGGGAGGTGGTGGAGTCACCGTCCCTGGAGGTGCTCAGGGACTGTGGAGATGTGGCACTGAGGGATGTGGTCAGTGGGCATGGTGGGGTGGGCTGGTGGTTGGACTGGATGATCTTAGTGGTCTCTCCAACCTTAATAATACTATGATCTGTTTAGTTCTAATGCCCGTCAAAGCCCAGCACCCAGCTGCCCCATCCTCCAGGAGGATAAATCCCACCAGCAGCCAACGCTTGAGCCCCCCCAAATCCATAAGCTTCTTTGGGAGAAAACAAAGCAGGGCTAGGCTGGCGTCTTAGGGCAGAGAGAAAAATGTGCTGCGCTGCAAATCCTGCCCCACTCCCAGCCACGAGGCCCGTTAGTCCAGCGTCCCAGCGCCAGCCAGCCAGCTTCCTCCTGCCCCGCGGGCACGTGGCCGGGAGCACTGCTAGCCATGAGTACTGCTAGCCATGAGTCAGCAGAGCCCAGCACCGCGTGACTCAGCAAACGCTGCTTGGCTGCTCTGGGGAAAGTCTTAATGCTCAGTCCCCTCCTCACTGCAGGTGCTGGTGCATCACGAGGTATTCCCAGCTACCACGTGTGGTGTCCCCTCGTGTCCCACCTGGGCAAAACCGCCCTGCCCGTGGGCTCGCAGACAGCGGGGATGGGCCCGCCGCCACCTGCAGCCCCTCGAGGCTCTCCCAGCAGCTGGTGGTGCAGTGGGAGAGGCACAAACCTTCCTTTGAAGTGGGAAGGAACAGGCGCTGGAACCCTACCCAGCGTCTGGCCCTTAGGCTGCACACAGGACAGCTCCTCGGCACCTATTTCCAGTCTGACCAGTCTACCCCAGCAATCCATGGTTGCCAACTGGGAGTACAGCCTCATGCTGGTGCAGATGAGGCTGTGCACTCAGAGCACAGATGTGGTCACATTGGGTTTTTGAGTTATCTCCAGAGCATTTAACCCAGCTTCAGCCCTCGGCACTGAGGCCTTCAGAGCTGCCACTGATGCACTCGTGTGCTGGGTTCTGGTGGCCCTACCAAGCACCGGTCGCCAGGTGTCATTTCAGCACTCCCTCAGTATTTCCATGGGGTGTTTGTCCTGATGCAAACACAGAAAGTTTTGCTTGCTTTGAGACACTCCTAATTCTCGACTCCATCCAGAGGCAAGCACTGTGCTGGATCAGCCGGTGGATGTGGGCGGCAAGTGACGCACCCTGGCTTGGTGCCACCGTTTCACAACCTCCTGTGAATTCTCCAGGTGTGTGTGGGGGGAGATGATTCAACCCTGCAGGATGGAGGAGCACCTTGACTTCGACCAGGATAGGGGTCCTCTCTGCAGGTGACACCAGCAGGACCAGGGAGGTTGTGCCAGGAAAAGTTCTTCTCCAAAAAAATGGTGTTGCAGTGGCACAGGCTGCACAGGGAGATGGTGGAGTCACCGTCCCTGGAGGTGTTCAAGAAAGATGGAGATGTGGCACTGAGGACATGTTTAGTAGGCTTGGTGGGTTGAGTTGGTGCTTGGAATGGATGATCTTAGAGTGTTTCTTTTTCCAACCTTAATAATTCTATGATTTTGGGCATGCACAGGGCAAAACGGTTGAAGCTGCAGTGACTGTACACCAGCAGTGCAGATGCTGATGGCTGCAGCTAATTAGCAGCACCTATTTCACCAGCCCCAAACCCAGAGTGCAGCCGTGGAAACTTTTTCCTGGTGCTGTGCCAGGACCTCACCCATTCCCAATGCCATTTCCTAAACACTTGGAAAATTCACACACGAGGGCACATTTTCAACACAAGGATAAGAGGGAAGAGCTGCCTGTTACGGAGCAGGCAGAGTATCTGCCCCTCCCCATGCCCTCATGCTATCAGTCAGCTGCTTGGGGCTGCTTTGTGTGCAGAACTGACTGGGATCCTATGCAAGCATCCTTCTGCTGCCAGAACAGCTGCAATCAACTTGGAAAGATGCTAAGTCTCTATGGTTCTACGTTTCTATTCTGTGATAAGTGTGGGTGCCACAGGGCTTGACTGGGTGGTAGTTGTTCTTCAGTGTCTCTCACACCAAATCCCAATCACAGTGGCAGGCGAGGGTGGCTCGCCAGTGGCCAAGGCTGGGAGAGAACCTCTCATCTAGCTTTTGCATGCTTTCCCTTAGTTATGTTCCACAAGAAAAGGTTTTACTCAGCAAAATGCTTAGGGAGATGCCTTCTAGCCCGCTGACTGCCCTAATGCCTTCCCCATGCTGGACTGCAGCCAAACCTCACATATCCCATCCCTGTGTCCTCTGTGTCCTTTGGGCCCCTCTGTGCTATGGGGGCTCGCACATGCTTCCCCACTCCTGTCCTTCTGCCCTTACAGCTGCCAACTCTGGGGGCTTGCCTGGCACCTACCATGGGGACCATCCCTGGGGCAGGGAGCTCGTGGTATTTGCCTCGCTCCAGGTTTTTTGGCAGGGGTTGGTGTGTATGTGTTTTTGTGTCTGCATGTGTGTGTGCATGCACAGGGAGCAGTAGCTGACGGGATGGTGGCAGTGTTGATGATGGCATTGATTCATTACCTCCCACGCCAGGATGTGATGGGCAGTACTGACATAGATGCACCTGTATCACATCCCTTGAGCAATGCCCCTGGGGGCACTAGGGAGATAAATGCTAGGGAATGGAGCAAAGCAGGGTGTGGTCATCATGGAGACCCCTCGAACTCCACGGGGAATCCGCAACCTATAGTAAATGCATTTCCAAGCATGCATAGTGAGGGCCATCTCTCTTCTTTTTCCCACCAGCACTATTTTTTAATGATCTCCTCTAATTTCCAGATGGATCTGCCCTTTGGCTTAGGGTTAGGGTCCTGGGGGTGTCCCCATGAGTGCTCGGACAATACCCGGGGAAGCCCCAGCATTTGGCAGCTTTGGCTGGGGCAGTGTGAGATGCCAAAATGTACTGAGAAGCAATGGCCAAAATCAAGTGCAAGAGCCCCCTCTGCACCTTTGGAAATGCCTGGGAGAGCCAAGACATGAGGATTATCCCAAGCAACGATAACAGCATTGTTGTCCCAACCCTTAATGAATTTATTCCAGGTGTCTGTAAGGTGGAAGCAAGATGTTTCCCCATGCAGCAGGTGGCTAATGAAGCAGCGCTTGCTGGAGGCTGTTCTCGACACTCCACCTTTGGAACAGAGTGGGGAAAGCCACAGGCAATGGCCCAAAGCAGCAGCACTTGGCCCTACAATGATGCAATCCCCCAAACTTTGTGCTTCCTTTTCTTTTTTCCCCATTTTGGACACATTTTGCATTGTCATCCTTCCTCCTGACAGTGCTGGAGGAAGGCACGTGGTGTGTTTCCCTTGCCTCAGCACCTTGCACTCTGCCACTGCTCATGTGCTCTCATCCCCAGAGCCTTGGCTCAGCTAATCCCCTCACCCAAGGCATTGACTAAGCCAGTGTTAAATTCAGCTTCACCCGGGGGCAAGGGATTGCCTCATCTTCCAAAACCACAGCAGCATTGGAAAAGGCCAGAGCAGCACAGGGGGCCAAAGTCCCCACCATGAGATGCCACCAAGCCCTGCATGATGAGCGAGGTCAGACACCAATACTGGGCCACCTTGTCCGACACTATCTGACTTCCATAAAAACGTGATGAACATCTGCCCCTGCTTGTTTGGAACACCCCGTAATTAATGTTTGCTCACTGATTGAGGTTGACAGGTATTTAGCATTATTAGCAAATGATTAGGAGCTGATGTTATTGATGTGGCTACTTTCAGACATGTGATTTCAGCATCTAGACTTGGAAAAAAAGTTGTTTTGGAGGTGAGTTCCTCCAGCAGCTCTTCTTGCAGAGCAAGACCTGCCCCAAAACCAGAGCAGCAGAGACACAGATGGGAACATGAGTGCCCACCCCATGGCCTGTGGTGGGGGCAGCTGCCTCGGCCACAGTTCTGTGGTCCAGGAGGCAAAAGTCCCTTGGGTGGAAGGCGTGGGAACTAACACTGAGGTATGATGGTACACAGGATGGGGACTCACTGGTGATACATTAAAAAATTTGGCATTTTCTGAGGTTTGGATGAGGGTTTTGATGGCCTTTGCTCTGCAGGGAGCTAATCCAGAGCCTACTGAAGGCTTCCTGTGATCAGCCTAGCTTGATGGGCCCCCCGTGTGCATATCTGAGTAAGTACAGGACAAAAAACCCTGGTGTCTGCAAAGCAACTCTGAGACATCACACTAAGCTCAACCAGAGACACCAGCAAATCACACAGCTGTTATTTACTATTTATTGAGTGAAAAAGCATTGGTGAAGGTGACAAATCTTTAAAAACAACAAGAAACCAAAACTAATTTCTCTGAAGTCTGCCCTAAAATCTGTATTTCAGTTTATTATATTTTTGTTTTCCTTTTTGAAAAAAAATGGATGGAAAGTTAACACACTGGAGAGAACTTCCAGTTTCAAGATCGAGTGGGGGTGAATGGCTGGTTTTTGGTGGTGGTTTTTGAGGACCCACCGTGTTTCCCAATAGCAGAGGTGACAGCAAGGCAGTGCAGCGGCCTCTAGTGGCAGCCCCTAGCATTCAGCCCTAGAGAGAAAAGGGGAAGCTTTCACTGCAGGGGAAGCTTTGGGGGTTGCTTTCTGTCTGGAAACATAAGAAGCAGAGTCAAAACTGACAAAGAAAAGACATCCCCACACAGGGTCATCAGGGTAGGGCACTCAGAACCCACCCACCCTAAGCAGGCACACCTGGGACCCCCACCTATGCCCACCACCCACGTCCCTATTTAAGCACAGGCTTTGGCTCATGCTGCTGTTTGGAGCTGTGGAGTAATAGCCTGAAGCTCTGCTCCCTGCCTCGCTGCTGGTGTAGGTGGTTGTCTCCAGTGCCCTCTCCTGGATGGACCTGTATTGCAACCTGGTCTTGTCTGTGATCTTTATGCTGCTGCTCCAGGGGCTGTGTGAGTCTTCTAAGAGGGTGTTTGTTCTTCCTGCAGTGGTTGCAACCCTTGGCTTTTGAGGCCTGGAGGATCTTGTGTCAGGAGCAGGACTGAGCATCAGGTCTTCCCTGGTAGCTCGTGTTACTGTGCAATGCTTTCACCCCCTGGGGTTCTTGTTGCAGGCTGGGAAATTCTTCCCCTCCCACCAGGTCTGCCATCAGCTGGCTCAGTCCTATCTGCTGGAGAGGGGAAAGGAAGGCTGCAGGTTCTTAGTCTGTCAGCAGCACGAGGGGACCCATGCCGAGGGCACACCCACATCTTGAGCCCCCTGGATGTTATGAAGGCCATCATCGAAGAAAATATGCGGCTGGATTTGAGCAAGAATGGGGCCCTTGGGAGCTCCATCCATGAAGAAGGCTTCATCGATGGCCAGACCCCATTCCCGGAGTGTCTTGATGGCTCGGATGCCCATGTCCCGGCCACTGCGGGCTGTCACCAGGTAGGTGCGAATGGGGGACTCCTCCTGACTGAACTTCTTGCGCATATTCCCCAGGTGCATGGCAAAGGCTTTTATGGGACCCTGCAAGCACACCAAGACACCTGAGAATGCATAAGAAAGGCGGAGACATCTGCCCAGCCTGTTCAGTCTGCTTTTTCCTCTTGTTGGTAGGACACCAAGTCAGGCAGCCTAGGGACTGAGGACTGGTAAATGCAAAGGGAACCCATAAGGATTTGTGCTTTTTTTGGCTGCCTGTGGCAATACCCTAACAGAGGATGTGCTCACCTCTCCTATAGGCACAGCCTCCATCTCCCGCTCATATTGCATGGCTCCCTCCAGGCCCTGCTCCCGGAAGATCTGGTCTGTCTCATCGGAGAAAAGCACAGCATCTCCATCAAAGGCCACACGCAGCAGGGTGCTGGGGGCCTGCACCTCCTGCTGGAAGACGAGTGCTGCCGAAACCCCTGTGAGGTGAAGCAAGATGGGTTTGTGGAAGACATGAGAGATGCCACATTGTAAGGCATCTTGCATGCGAGCAACTCCTCTCTGTGGTCTCATCTCACACCACAAATGTATTACGGAAAGACACTGGTGTGGTTGGGTTCTCATCAAGGATGCTTTCCATGAGGGTCATCCTGGCCTTTCCAAGGCTGAATTATTTGGGGAGCACAAGGAAGAGTTGCTGATTTGACTGGATAGATGCTGAGGGCTGCTGGGATAACTGCTGGGGTGTTAATGCATGTGAAGCCCTCCTCCTGGTGTTCAGTCCCTCTGCCAAGCCTGGTGCTAATGCCCAGATTTAGCACTCTGTGCTGTGAGTAATAGGGACTGGCACCTCCAGTTGATTGGGGTAATTGGCTTAATTACAGGTCTCTTCTTACAAGCTGCTCCCTGCCTGCTCTCATCCGTGGGCTGATGCCCCAGATGAGACACTTGTTAGAGCAATGATCATCATCATGAGTCTTCAAGATTCATAGCTAAAGGAAGACTGGGCTCTGGTTGGCTTGCTCCTGACCTGAAGGAACCTGGCCAGCTGATGTGCTCATACCCAAGCAAATTAATAAGGAGATTAACCCCATTAGAGCTGTCAGGAACTGAACATACTCAGATCCAGGTCAAGCATGTTCTTGCTTCTTTCTGTATGTACCAAAAAAGGAAATTAGTATAGCAACCTCACAAAACCTTGGGAGTCATTGAAAGGTTTAAATACTGGGCATGGAATGACTAGCCCATGGCAGATCTGCAGTCAGAATTATACATGGAACATTCAATTAATTTAGTTAATTGTGAAGGCTTCTGACAAGCCCTGGTGTTTGTAGGCCACAGATGGAAACTGAAAAAAATGGAACCATTAAAGACTATGTTGGTGACCAAGATGCCATTTGTTCTCTCTCCCACATAACAGGATGAGCTCTGGCATTGCTTCTTGGTGCAGGCCACTTGGGAGCAGTGTGGTGGGTTTGGGGGAGGTGAGATGGAGAGAAAGACACACCTCTTCGGAGGGCATTGCAGACATCTGTCCTGTCAGCTGAGAGGAACAGTTTCACCCTGTGGGACTTCAGGTACTGCGTGGAGTCCTCATCACTGACAAAGCAGAACTTGGAAATCTCCAGGCCTTGGGACAGGGAATACGAGCAAAGTCTGTTATGGGGCTGTGTCCTCCTTGCAGCACCCCTTCACCTCCCCAGGTCTCTGCATGCTTTCCCCTGGCTCTGTATTCCCCATGGATGCAGTGCTGGGGAGAGAACACTGTGGGGGCAGACCCCCCAGAGATGGGCACCCTTACCGTAGTGCTTGGCACTGTTGATGATGCGCACGCCACTCTCTGGGCTGTTGTTGGAGAGCACCAGGATGTCAAAGAGGCCCTTCTCTGCTGGGTTGCTCTCCAGGATCTTCTTATTCACATACTGTGCTGCCTGTGGGAACAGACCATTTTATAATGGGCATCAGGGTGGCTTTTCAGGGTTGCTTGGAAATCACACGGTCATTGGATGGGTTGGGTGGGTGGGAGCCAGTTGGGGTGAGATGCAGGGGCAGGAAGGCTGTTTTTACCCTGCATTGTGAGTGATGTTTGCCCTGGAGCTCACCTGGATGAAGGCAAAGGCTGTGCCTGGGGGCAGGGGCTTGTCCTGGTTGGCCTGTTGGTGCCTCGCATATTCCTCCTTTCCTTTCTCCAGGTAGAGCTGGTGCTCCTCTTCCAAGTCGAAGATGGCTCTGGTGGTCACTGCGATGACCAGTGCCTCGCTGGGATCTTTCTGCAAGGTGAGAGCAAAGAAGGGTTGGGGAAACACAATGGAAGAGCCTTGGGATGGTGGTGTGAGGTGGTGGGGCTGCATGTTGGAAGCATCACTCATGTGTCATGGTTCCTGCCTTGATGCCGGAGAGAATTTGATGAAGAGGTACGAAGCCTGATCTTCATCTGCAGGTCACTGAGGTTGGAGCAGGTGGTTGTGAAATGCCAACCTGTCTGATAAGTGCATTGTGCTCTGAGGACAGCTCACGTGGAAGAGGATTGCTTCATAATTTGTGCATCTATGGGCACAGCACAGCTGTAGTCACTGTAGTCATCTGCTCATACTGAGCTGGGCATTTCTGGCATTCCCTGCATGTCCTGGTGCTTTGATTCTTATTTTATCTCCACTCTGGAGAGACTGATGAAAGCTCTCTTTGTACTACTGTTTTCTCTTTGGTCATTCCAAAATTAAACTTGAGCAAATGTGTCGCTTGTGCAACCCAAGGCACAAACAATTTCGGCCACCAAAGTTTCAGGTTGTGTCATCTCCTGCAGTGGCATTTCAAAATGTGCCTTGGAAATTAGGGATCTGCATTTGTAATGAGCAACTCTTACCTGTTTCACATCGGTATTGATGACTGTGCTTTCAGGCTCTGCCATCTTCCAATTTCAGCCTGAAATGAGAAAAAATATATAATTGAACTGATGCAGGTAATAAAAGACCCAAAGGATCCTGCAGGTAGGCTTCTAGCTTGCTTCCGTACTGTGATTCCTGGTAGTTTTTGTCTGAAAGATGATTTTCTATCTACATAGAAACAAGATTGCTGTGTTGAAGATTGCTTGCAGATGTAGAAGACACAGGTAAGTTGGGATGTGTGGTAAGCAAGCACTTGCCAATCCTGTACATGCAGGATCCCCTACACCACAGCTATCTGTGCAGGCTGGGCTTACCCATGTCTGGCAGAATGCAGTCCTGGGGTGCTGTGTGCTGCTATTTTTGCACACCAGGTCCTGTGGCTTCTGTAACCATCTCACCGTATGCTTTGTTTCTCTGCACTGGTTGGTGCTATAAGTGGACTTGAGGGATTCAGCCTGTGGACTGGGAATGGCTCCCATTCCCACAGCTCCTACAAACATGCTGTGGGGTTTCTCTGAGGAGCAGAGGAGGCAATAATGGTTCAGCACAGATGTGCTGCGATTGGCAAGGGAGTTAAAACCTCATTTCCCATTTAATGTGCTACTTGATCAATGAAGTGGGAGGCTGTGCATGCTGAGATCAGAAGGAAAGTTGCATGGTGTAGCCTTCACCCTCCTGTTGTCCTGATGTACTTGCTGTTGGAGGACTTCAGACTTTCTCTACCTCACCTCATTTTTTCAGGCTTTTTATAAAGATTGACATGCCCACTTCATTGAGCTGTCAGTGCATGGCTGGAATTTGCCTTTTGGCTGCATTTCTGCCCTTGGCCTGCTCATGCAGCTAAGCTGAGCAACCACTTTAGACCCAGCACGAGCTGACACTTCCCATCCACTGATCCCTTCTGAGGTATGTAGGAAAGGAGATATGTTACAGGATATACATTGTGTGTGTGTATGTATGTATATGTGTGTATATATATATATATATATATATATACATATACAATGTGTCACAGATTTTATATATCACAGATTCTCTATGTAATGTATATAGGTGCATGATCTACAAGGAGCTTGATGCTTCTATATCCCTGCCCTGCAAAGCATCACCCTGCTTCCTCCACCCACATCCTGTGTGGGGAAGGTTCTCCTCCCACGGAGCTGTGGGGTGACAGCCACCAGCCCATATCTCAGCAGGGACAAATGTCCCCTGGAGAGATTCCATCCAAGTGACAGTTCTTAACACACGCCGTGTTTTTGGGTCTCCTCCTCCCTTTTCTTAAAGTGAAAGTGAAAGGAGATGAGGTGGAGCCGAGCTGCTCTTTGCAGAAGGAGAGAAAGCCTATTAATTTTTGCTCCATCCCTTGAAATCAGGAAGACCGTGCCTGACTTCTCATTCCTCTTTATCTGCCTATAGTATTATTTTCATACAGCACTTATACAGATTGTATATCACTACACACATAGCTACACATGCGTACAGCACCGTGTGTGTATCTATATATACACACATGGAAAAGTATCCGAGGTGGATGCTTGCAGCTCCCTGCAGTGTAGCAAAGAGCAAACACGGCGTGCCTCCAGCTGGGAAAGAAGCAGCTGAGGCTTGCTAGAACAAAGGTCCAAACTCACCACCAGTGCTGTCTCCTCATCTAACGCAGCATCCACTCCTCTGCCCCACTTCACCCAGGTGCTGCTGCTTATATCTCTCTGGGGCCAGCAGGAAGCAGGCAGCTGCGTGCTAGGCACAGCCCTTCCCCTGGCGTGATGGGATTTGTAGTCAGCCCTGCGGGCTGGCTGCATGCCTGGCTGCACTTCTACATTGGCCTCCTGGCCAGCTTTTATTCTATTTCTGCTCGCTGCCCACAAGCACTGCAATTAGGTTTATTTTTGTAGGTAAATCTCTCATTTCCTAGCCCTTGTGTGCATAGCTGTCGTGTTTTTGACCAAAAAGCACAGGAGTCCCTATTCAGGAGGGACAAAGAGCAAAATCTGTAATTTGCTGTGCCATTTTTAGGACCCTTTGCAGAAAGCTGGGGCTATTGCCATATGTTACTAAATCACCTCTCAGAGCATGGGCTGCAACAAGGGTCTTGCTGCCATGCAATACTGCTTCACCAAGATGCTTCACTTCTGCAGACAGCACCACTGAAGTACTCGGCATGCACAGCAAACCCTCTTTCTCTGAGTATTTTTATTGGATATGTTCCCATTAACCCAAATTTCTCCTATGTATTTCTTCTGTGCACCCTCCAACTCTTCCTAATACAGTGCGAAAATTATCATAGAATCACAGAATGGCTTGGGTCGGAAGGGACCTTACAGCCCACCCAATCCCCTGCCTTGGGCAGGGCTGCCCCCAACCAGCTCAGGTTGCCCGGGGCCCCATCCATCCTGGCCTTGAGCCCCTCCAGGAATGGAACATCCAGTTTCTCTGGGCAGCCTTTGCCAGTGCCTCACTGCCTTCTGAGTGCTGAATTTTTGGTGTCTAAATATCCCCACACCACCTCTTTCTCTTCTGTGCAGCAGGATCACAAGGGAAGAAATGTGTAAGAATAAATGTGAGATGGGGATGCTGCTTGAAATCACCCTGACTGTGCACTTACCCCTTGTGCTGAGTGCACAGAGCCATGTGCTGTGCATATCCTAGTACTGCTACTGGGATATCTTGGAGAACTGAATTTTTCCAGGACAGTTTTCTGCAGCCAGGAGCACAGGTTTTGCTTCCTGCTCAGGCTGGGAGTTCCCTGCTGACTTTTCGCCTGCGTGAGCACCGCTTGGGTCAGCAGGAAGGTGGGGCCCACTGGTTCCTGGGTTGCCAAAGCAGACTTTCCAGTTTGGGTTGCACTGTGCAGGGAAAAGCCAATGTCCCTTTTGTGCCTATAGCTCTATTCCTGGCAGGGAGCTCTCTTGTCCCCAGCATGTTCCTACCATGCACTGTGGCTGGAGCAGGAGACCAAGCAGAGAGGAAAGGAGACTGAGGCTGAAAACAACACGGTGGTAAGTCTGGTTTTGGGTTTAGGGGAGAAGGGCAGGGCTTCCAGGACCTTTTGCAGAAGCCAAGAATGCTTGATGTTCCCAGACCGTGTCTCCATTGTCACAAAACAGCAGCTTGGGTCACACCCCAGATCTGGGATGAGCTCCTTTTAATGGGGGCTGATGGAAGATAGTCCTTTAGGGTCTGGTGGGAAAAACATGATGAAACATCTGAATCTGTGCTGTATGGGCACCTGCTTGCTGCTGCTGCTGCTATGTCCACCCGCTGTCACAATCTGAAGCTGGAGCCTGGCGCCTCCTAAATAGCACAGGTCTGTCACCAGGCTGCTGATTTCTGTGTGCAGAAACAGGAGAATCTAGCCATAAAAACCCAGTGGGAAGGCTGTGAGCTGAGATTGCATCCCTGATGGCACTGATGTCCCATATAGATGGCTCTGTGCAAGTAGTATGTCCCGCATCCTGCTGCCCCAGTGAAGATAGAGAGCAACTCTTTATCCCTGCAGTTACAGACAACAAAGCCTCCTTGTTAAAAAAATTAAAGATCATCCCTGTGTGAGGAACCCCACAGTGCTGGTGTGGCCAAGGTAAACACTTGCATACCTGCTGGCCCTCGTCACAGCACTGGGAGGAGTGCCCTGGGCCAAGGTTTGGTAGAGGCTGGCCTCCAGAAGCCTACTGGGGGTGTTTTCTGGTCCTTTTGGATGTTCCTGGTATGAGATATCCTCTGGCTGGCTTCAGCATCCAATTGAACATACTGAAGTCTCTGCTTGGTCCTCACCACGTGCACAAATCAGGCTGGCTCAGTTTGGGAACCGGTATGGTGGCACTGCTGCCACCTGGCATGTGGGCACAGCCTGGCTGGGGTGATGGAGCCAAGCCTGAGCCTGTAAGAGGAGAAGGAGAGGCTATATGACATCAGGAATCAGCTGCTGAAAGGAGATGGAGATTAAATGAAAAAACTGCTTGAGCAGAGCCGCCTTGCCCACGGGAACTGCTCCACTCCGTTTCACACTTCATTTCCTATGCGGCCAAGCCCTAAATGCTTACGCTGGGCTTTATCTTAACATTTTAATTGTGTTTACTCTCATTAGAACTCTGTGCTGCTTCCAGCATGTGAACTTCTGCATATGAAATCCCCACCCTGTTCATTTTTTTTGCCTCCTCAGGTCACTTGCACTCTGCCATGGCCAAGTCACAGAGGAACGGCTGGGCTACAGCCTCCTCACCCCTTGCTAGCCCAGTGGTTACCACCACAGCTCCACCGGGCTTCCTTGATGGCTTTGTCAGCCACATCCCATGTGAGTACAGCTGGGCTTGCCCCTTTTTCTTTGGAAAGTGTTAAGAAATGGGTAGATGTGGCACAGAGGGGCATAGCTCAGTGAGAATGATGGGGTTGGGCTGCAGTTGGATTTGGTGATTCTAGTGACCTTCTCCAGGATTTTAAGCTCAAGCCCCAAGACATATCTTTGTAATGCCGAAACATGAGGAGGGCATTGTAAATGCACTTTGTGTGGTTTTGTTTGGCTTTAACTCTTCTGTTTACTTCATTGCACCAGTACCCAGATGGGCGCTCATTGCTGTGGCAGTGGCAGTGGCTGTTCTCCTCCTCCTCTTCCTCATCTGCATCATCAGGTGCTGCTGTGGCAAGAAGAAGCCCAAGAAGAAGGAGAAAGTTGGATTGCTCACCTTCAGTGGCTCCACCACAGCCAGCCTTGTGCGTCCTGCTTTCTCCTGTCCCCTGGTCCACTCCTAGCAGGGAGGTTTGTTCTGTGATGCCCATCTCCCCAGCACATGCCCAGAGTGGTGGGAATGCTTGTGGGTGTACAATTGGGCTGGGATTGTGGGGGAGGCTCTTTTAAATGTGATTTTAGAACAAATTGATCCATACGATGCATCATGCAAGGATGGAGAGCAGGAATGTGAACTTTGTCGCCATGGGCTTTCAGCAGACCTGGGGGTCCCATCCATGCAACTTAGTATGAGGAAACACAAGGCTCTGGAACCTTGTCCTGAAGGTTGTGTTGCTCTTTGCCATAGGTGCAGCCTGAGATGGAGGACCTGGAGCAGGGCCCAGAGGAGACAGGACGAGGAAGACTTCAGTACTCTCTGGAGTACAACTTCCGTGCACAGGAGGTGAGGCTGCTGCAAGGCTGTGCTCTGGCAGAATCCTTTGGTGCCCAGCAGGACCCAGGCATCCATACCTGGTGCACCTCTGCACCCAGCTGGCATACTGACATGGTGGGATGACATCCTTGTTGCACTTGCTTGCTTTTCACCTGTCACTATCTTCTGCACAATGACGTCATGTGTTGTTCCTTTTAAGCTGAAAGTTGGTGTGAAGCAGGCAGCTGATCTGAAAGCCATGGACAATGGGGGCACATCTGATCCCTATGTTATTGTCTACCTGACATCAGATATGAGAAAGAAGTATGAGACCAAGGTTTACCGCAAGACTCTGAACCCTGTCTTCAACGAGAGCTTCTCTTTCCAGGTAGGAAGCAACAGCTGCTGCTGATTACCTTGAGGATTCCTTTGCTACCAGGATGGGAAAGCAACAGAAAAACCTGCTGTTGTGTCTGTCCCGCCATTGCACATGGCAGGGAGTAAGGTTGGGTTGCTGGGTTTTCCCCTGCAGGTGCCCCAGGCAGAAGTGTCTGAGGCCACGCTGGTGATGCAGATCTACGACTTCAACCGCTTTGCCAAGCACAACATCATTGGTGAGGTCCGCCTGCCCCTGGCCAGTGTCAGCCTGCAGCACATCATCGAGCAGTGGAGTGACCTAGTGGTGGCCAGCAAAGTGGAGGTTGGTCCTAGCAGGTGGGACACACCATGGGGTGAGACGTGGTGCTGCTTCTCTTTCCACCACCCCACAGTGAGAGAAAGCAGTGGGTATCCTTCACCTTGAGAGTCCTCCAGCTCACTGGCCCCTCTCTCTATCAGCAAGAGCGGCTGGGTGAGATCTGCTTCTCACTGCGCTATGTCCCCAGCACTGGCAAGCTGACAGTGCTCATCCTTGAGGCCAAGAAGCTGAAGCGGATGGACTCCCACGGGCTCTCAGGTAGGCAGGGTCTGCTTGCACTCTCTACCTGGTGCTATTGATAGCACCAAGAACTGTAAAACCTCAAGGACTCTTGGTGTGGAGCCATGTCCATTCTCTCCTCAGATCCTTTTGTCAAGGTGCATCTCATCCTGAACAAGAAGAAGTGGAAGAAGAAGAAGACAAGCGTGAAGAAAAACACCTTGAGCCCTTATTTCAATGAGGCATTTGTCTTTGAGGTGCCTTTCAATCAGATTCAGGTGGGTTTCCCTTCAGTGCCCAAGGCTGAACAGGCCCCTGCTCTGATGAAGGTCCAACTGACAGCTTTTCCTGTGTCTCCACCAGAACGTGGATGTGGTCATCTCTGTCTGGGACTATGACAAAGTGACCAAGAATGAGCCCATCGGCAAACTCTTCCTGGGCTGTCGGGCCACTGGTAACCAGCTGCGGCACTGGTCTGACATGCTGTCCAACCCACGGCGTCCCCTCACCCAGTGGCACAGCCTGCAGCCCCCCGATGTGGTGGACAAGGCCCTGGGGTTGAAGTCCCACCTCAAGCTGCCTCTGACCACCAGATAGCGAGAGGCAGCTCTGGCCCCCCCTGCTCTCTCATTTGGGCAGGATGGAGGTTTTCAGAGGTGTCTGGATGCAGCTCTGCAGCTGGCTGATGCTGGAGAGGGTGATGTGGATGCAGAACTGGCTTGTATCAGCCACTCACAGTCTGGGGGATGAATACAGAGAGCTCTAAGCTTATGGAAAAACATTGTGTCCTTTGATATTTTTTGAATAGAAGATTATTACTACAGAATCACAGGTTGGAAAAGGCATTCAAGATCACTGAGTCCAACCATCAGCTGGACCTAATAGGTCCCACCACCAAACCACGCCCCTTAGTCCATAAATCTCTGAACTACCTCCAGGTATGGAAACTGCACCACTTCCCTGGGCAGCCCATCCCACTTCTTGACCCACCCTCTTAGGAAACCACCTTGTGAATGCTATGCTTATTAAGGCTGAGTTGCAGCCGTCTTGTCAGTTCTCTGTGGGTTTCATGTAGTCTGGGTGCTGCTTGTGCCCTCACATCCTCCTTGTGGTGCCTTAAGGTGGGAGGTGGGTAACTAAAAATCCCTCCTGTTTTGAGGTGGATCCTCTGCATTGTCTGCAGCCTCAGGAGCCTCTCAGCTCACGGAATTAGTATTTCAATGAGCTGACAAAGAAGGGGATTGCTCTTAAGAGAGTTTTAATTCAGTTGAGAAGACTTAAGCTAGATTGGCACATTCGCTGCCTGACCCCACTCTGTTCCTGGCAAAGAAATTGCTCTTACTCCGAAATACATCTGGAAAACCCTTCTTCTTTTGTTAAACAAACAGCCATAGCACAAAGATTTGGGCTCGTTTCACTGTATTTGGCCTCAAACTACAAAAGGGAAGTAATTTGCACCAGGCAGCCTGTAGGAAGATGTAGGCTGCAGGTTCTGGAGTAGGGAGAGCCCCAAGCCATTAATATTGAAAAGCCGTTAATCTGCAATTATCCCAAGACCCATGCAGTGACTATCTGAGAGTTAAACAAATACGGTGAGGCTGAGGAAGATTATGAAAGCTCTTGATAGAGATTAATGACCCAAGCTTAACTATAAAAAGCTACTGTGCCTGTTTCTTAATAAATGTTCCCTAGGCTTTGCCTTTGCTGTGATGGGGGGGGGAGGGTGGAAATTACAGAGTTGTTTGGGGATAGCTGTGACAAGTGGAGTATGGCTTCTGGTGGGAGAACAGCACAAGCTGGGTGCCCTTAATGAAACGGAGGAGGAAATCAGTCACCTGAGAAGTACTTACAGAAGGATGCCGAGTGAGTTAAAGCCTCAGCCTTAAATCAAACTGGAGGGGATGATGCAGAAGGGAAAGCTGCTGTGTAAGAATTCTGGGGGCATCTGGGGACTCAACCAGTAAGTGCTCATCAGGGCAGGTGTACTAGTGCCACAGATGAGCCTCACTGAGGCATAAATCCACTTGCTGATCTGCTCCCTCAAGAGGAAAGGATGAGGGGATTGTAACTTATTTAACTCTTGAGCACAGCTCACATGGGAGCCTATTCATAGGAAGGGGGATAGCTCCATCTTGTGCTAAGTCTGGTGGGTAGAAAGGCTGGATTCTTCTTGACCCTCCATCAGCATGTTCCCATGGCCTTAGCAAGGTTGGTTGGCTGTCCCCTTGTCGCAGCTGTGTCTCTTGCCCAAAAGGCTTCCTTATGCACTTGGAGGACTGACCACGGAAATGCACTTCTGAATGAAGTGGAAGATGCTGCAGTGGAGGATAAAAGAAAGCAATGTTAGCTGAAGGTGAAATCTCAGCGTGTGCCTGTGCTGGATTCCCACATCTGCATCTAGAGGGCAGGGCAGGTACATGTTGAATGACCTGAGTCTCCATGTCCTCAGTTGTCTCAGTTAGAGCTCTGCCTCTTTAACCAGGTATCCTTCCTCTAGAAACAGGGATTTGTGTAGGAGAGAAAAGCCTGTTGCTGTGGTGCATGCCTGGGTCTCCTTCTCACAGACCATACTCACCATGTGGTGCAATGAGAACTACCAGACCCTACAGACCTTACACAAAACTCTAATTTGGGCTGGTTTCTGGCAGAGGAAACAGACTCACCAGATCACCCAGAAATAGAGCAACATGCAGCAAGAAGAGTCTGTTGAACGCTGTTGACCAGCCAGAAGCAACAAGCCTTGGGCATGTCTGACTGCAAAGCCCAAGGCCACAAACCCTAATGGCGAGAGAAATGCAATTGGTATGAAGGAGAAGAGGGAAATAATCCTGAAGGTGATCAGACCTTGGATGGGATGTGAGATCTCCATGCCTGAGGAAGTTCTTGCCATGTGGTTCTGAGCAGGACCTAGCTCTCGATCCAGCCCTGATGGTGGCCCTATCTGGGGCTGTGACAGGTGACATCAAGGAGACTCTCTCAAAGATAATTATTCCCTTATTTGGTGATTTTATGACTATTTGTTCGTGTACTTCAAGAAATCAGCCTGGAAATCGGTAGCAGGCGAATGCTGAGCATTACACATGCTTGTCACCATTTGTCTGCTGTGAGACAAAAATGATTATGGGCTGTCATCGTTCAGCCTGGCTATGCACTGGCTGTCCTCCAGCTCAGATTTTTTGGCTAGTCTCACAATTTTTGAGCACTGGAGACTATCTAAGCTTCCCTCACGAGGAACGAGCCTGCCTGTTTTATAATGATGCTAGTTAATGAATATTTATCTCACCATTTTATTGTGAAACTTTGCCATGCGACGTGTTTCTTTTTTAAAACTTCTCAGCTCCAGGACTTGCAGGATCTTATGCCAATTGCAGCTTTTTCTTTTAAGGAATATTTTTAATGTGGTTGCAGAAAGAGGGGAACAAAATACTGAGAGCAGGATGCCTGCTGGCTTGAGACCTGGAGGCAAAGCACAGTTTGCTTGTTTGCCTGGAAAAGCAGCGAGGGCCTGTGGGATGGGTGGGCTCGGAGCAAGGGGTGTGAAAGGCAGGAGTTGGGAAGTCAGTGCCCCCATACTGGAGGAGAGGTGGAGGGCTGCCTCCCCCGTACATCTCTGCCATGCTTAGCACCGAAACTACGTCTCCCAGGCTGCCCTGCTGCCGTTGCTCCCCGGGAGGGGGAGGAGAGGGGGGTCTGCTTGGGGGGGATGAATGTCCTGGCCCTACAGTGCTGGCTGCGTGCCTCTGCCCACGGTAAAACGCCCGCCTAGGGGGGATGCTTTGGGGCAGAGTCCTGCGCGGTGTGGGGGTGGCTGCCCTGGGGAGAGGGAGAGGGAAGAGCGTGGGGTCCCGGAGGAAGCGTGGGAGTCTTTGTCCTGCAGCTGTGGGTGAGTGGGGAGGGGACTGCTGTGGGTGCGCCTGCTGGTTTCTCACACAGGCAAGGAGCCCCTTCCCGTCCCCCCTTTTCCTGATCCCCTTCTCTTTTTCCCATCCCTTGCCCTTTCCCTCATCTCCTTCCCTTCCGGGTGCCTCCATAACCGGGATGCTGCGCTCTCGGCGCCATGTGTGACTCGCAGTTTGTACTTCACAGGAAGTGGGCATCTGGAGCAAGCAATTCATGGATCTGTGATCCATAAAGATTTTGAGCTCAGACTCTAAGGGACAGATAGGCTGACCCCTGTGTGTGGTTTCTCTGAGGATGTATGTTCAAGGGAATTGAAAGACTGAGTGCTAGGACATCAAATATTTATGGGTAAATAAAACTAACCTTTTTGCAGGTGCACTGATCTGGATTCTGTTAGCCGTCACCTTCTAGCCTAGTTACAGAAATACTCACCGTTCAGTAGCAAACAATGAACATTTTAAAAACAATTCTTATTTAAAAGTAGAAGTTCTACCCCCCGCCACTTCTTCTACCCCCATTCCTACCCTTTTTCTTATCTCTTGCCCCCTCCATTGCAGTCTGGCTGCTGCTATTCCTGCCCTAGCAGGGTTTATGCAGAGGGCTTGAAGAAAGCAGGGGACAGACTCTTTAGCAGGGTCTGTTGTGATAGGACAAGAGGGAATGGTTTCAAACTAAAATAGGGGAGATTTAGAATGGGTATAAGGAAGAAGTTTTTTACAGTAAGGATGGTGAGGCACTAGCATGGATTGCCCAGAGAGGTGGTAGATGCCCCATCACTGGAGACATCCAAGGTCAGGCAGGATGGGGCTCTGAGCATTTGATCTAGTGCAGGTGTCCCTGTTCATTTCAGTGGAGTTGGACCAGATGGCCTATAAGGTTCCCTTCCAGCTCAAACGATTCCATGATTTGCTTCTGGGTCAGTCTCATGACATGGAGGTGTCTTCAGGACCCCTTTACTTTGAGATCACTTCCATATCTGCAGAGAAAACCTCCTTCCCCAAACAACGCAGGACTGATAATGGATGCAAAGAGGTTGTTTCTGCTCCTGGAAAGCTCCTTTGGTCCCAACCTTGTAGTTCGACAGAAAAACCTAAACCTCTGATTTTTATGTATCTCAGGCCTCAGCAGGATGGAGCCATCAGAGAAGCAGCATGAGGATGCAGTGGCTTTCATGCTGCAAGGCAAAAAGTGCCCCTCGAAGAAGAATGGTGTCACAGGTGGGTGAGTGCCTGCATGCCAATAAGGGGGGATTTCTTATCCAGCCACACTAGCTTCACACAAAATGGGCACTCATTGGAGTTCAGTTTGAACAGATCTGATACCCTGAAGTTAATCAGGAACAACTGTTTTGAAATGAGGCCTCAAGCTGTAAAGAACAAAACAAAACAAAAAACAAAGAAAAACCCAGACCCATATTTTATTTGAAATCATATGAATGGTATCTGGAAAGATGATGGGTTTCCAAACAAGTGTGAAGCTGAGTCAATGCTCTATCATCCTGCCTGTAACTGTGGACATTGCGGACATCCCTGTCTGAGCCAGCTGGCTGGTGGCAACAAGCACGGGCACCTCAAGACACAAATCCTTCAGCATTTGTTTAGAATGAGGAAAATTGCATGTTTTGAACCCCATTCCCACTGCCTGAGGCGACTTTGAAGTTTACTAGCCCAGATGGAGACCCAGCCAATGTCTGAGCTTACATGGACTGGGGAGTATTTTTCTCTTCACTTGCTTAAAATTCAGAGCACAGGAGCCACAATTTTGGCAGCCTGGTTAAAATACTTGGCCTTGATTTTACAAAAAGCCAGTGGGGAACTTTACTCTGGATATGACAAAGGACAGGTTCGCATTTGCAAAGTCCAGAAGAAAACTCCTGAAGGTCTCCGTGCTGTGTTGCTATGCTTGCACTCATGCCAAAACACCTCTGACTTTTGAGTATGGGTAGTGTTCTTGAAAGGTGCTCACTGGGGCTGGGTGCTGGGTTGTAATCCAGTCTGAGCTCATCTCTCCCCTTTCCAGGCTGGATTCTGAGGAACCTCCAGAAGACCTTCCAGAGGCCAACCTCCCTGCAGCTCTCTTCTCCCATGGCTTTTTCTCAGTGTTGGACAGGTAGGTGAGGCCATTGAAGGTCTCCATAGCTGCCAGAGTTCAATACATGTGAGATTTCTTGAGTTTTGTTTTTTTTTCTGTTCTTTGTTTTTTGACCCTTATGGTCACTTTTTTCTTTTTTTTTTATTTTTTTTCCCCTAACACAGTATTCTCACTGCTGCTTTATTTTGGCACAGTCCACCTAAAAGACATTTTGAGAGCAGAGACATGTTGAAACTGTATTCATTTAAGCACACGACTGTCTCAGTCTGTTCTCCAGACATGTCCTGGCTCTCGTTCTGGTCTTCAGCAATGTGTGAAGTTGCCCAGATCCAAGAAGGACTGTGATCAGGTGTCAGGTCACTGCAATAATTCTATCTCAAGGGAATGCTGGATGGATCACCTCCCAGACACATCAGCTGCTCAGGGCATCACTTCAGTGTTGGGCAGAGGTGTCAACTGTTGGCTTTTCCAAGGGTAGGGACTAAGGCACATTCTGTGTTACCTACCTGTGATGGAAGTGGGAGAACTCCTTGTGAGAAGTGAAATCTGAGTGTAGGACTCCTCGCTTATGAATACAGCTTCTCATCACTGGAGGCTGAGATTCAGGAAGCTCACGAAAGCACTCGAGTACTTGCATATGCCTATACTAACTTGTATTATTCCTACAGCCTCTTGTCCAAACCTGATGATAAGTAGAAGTGAGGCCCATGAAGAGAAGCATGGGGATGTGGTGCCTGCTGCCCTTCAGCATGGTGGGACTCACTGCTCCTTACTGCCAGCATCAGCAGGAGATGGCTGCTCCGACAACACAGCACTCCAGGGCTGGTGGAGCAGTCTGCAGGTCCAGGTGAACACTTAAAGTATATTTGTGCTTCCATCCATGGCAATAGGCTGGGTGTTTGGGATGATGATGTGCAAGGCCTTTGGAGTCTCTAGTATCTACTGATGTGTTGGAGTCTAAATGCCAGCTCATGTCTCCTTGCCCCTGCAGCTGGAGAAATGAGTTTCTGCTGACTCACCCATCCTTTTCTGTTTTGCAGATGGCATCCTGTTCCTGTGCCCTCAGAACCAGTCTCACATCTGCTTCTCCTCTGCCTTGTTCAGCAGGCTCCTCTTCCAAGGCCAAGCACTCCAGCCTCCTCTCCCTCTTCTCACCACCATCACGGATCTCTGAGCCTGATTACAGCTCTCTGCCTTGTGCTGGCTCCAAGAAATCTAGCAGAGGGAGCTGGAAGAAGAGCTCTCATTGCAAAGAGCCCCCTGGTCCCAAATCAGAAGAATCTGCACATTTCCCCTTCACAGGACCCATAATTGCTCAGATAACTGACTACATCTACCTGGGGAACCTCAATGCAGCCTACAGCGGCCGGGCGCTGTGCACAAATGGCATCGACAGCATCATTGACATGAGCAGCCTGCCCAATGACCACAGCCTGAGCATCGTCCCCTGCACCTGTGGGAGGGGAGGATTCAGGCACAACTGGTCACGCCTCAGAGTTGACATTCAGGGTTTCCTGCATGGAAATCTTCATGAAATAAGGCAGCCATGCTTCCTGGTCATCAACGAGTGCATCGAAGCCTTGATGGAGAAAGGGAAGCGTGTTCTCATTCACTGCAGGGATGGTTACTCCTTAGGCCCGACCTGTGTCATCCAATACCTGATGGTCAAGCACAGCATGAGACTGCTAGCAGCCTATGAACTTGTGAGGGCACGGTACCCACTGAAAATCCAAGAGGGCCATCAGGACCTACTGGTGGATTTGGAGATGTCCCTGCAGCCTGGTGGTGTCAACGTAGCATGCCTGAAGCACTCCCTGTCAAGAAAGATGGCATGGAGCTAAACAGGCATAGTGGCTGAAGAAGAAAAGCCAAAAGGAAAATAGCCTTAACTCCATCTCATGGGTAAATGAGATGACTGTCAGTGTGGGGTCTGTAGGACAGTGCTGACAAGATGCATAGGTGATGGCCTTTCTTTGCAGCAGTTCTTACAGACGGGTACTGGCAGAAGTACAGCTCTTAGGGACACACTAGAGGGAAAGGGAGAAAGTCTCATTTATGCAGAGGCTGAAAGTTTTTTAGTCGTAATGTAAGGAAATCCCCTGTGCTCCAGGTTGAAGAAAACTTTTCTTGGGAACTTTTGTTCCTTAGGGTGCAAGTACAGGTCACCTCCATGTCAGGGGATTAGAACTGCACGATCTTTTAAGGTCCCTTCTAACCCAAGCCATTTTGTGATTCTATGTGTCTCAGTCTCATGTTCTTTTTGAGAAGGAGAAGCCAACCACTGGATTGCTCAGTTGTTCTGCCTGAGCTTTCACTGTGAGCACAGTTGCTGTTGGGCTGCTGGGCTTGGTTTTTTTTTTTTTTTTTTTTTTTTTTTTGCCAACAGTATCTTCCATGGAAATTAGACGTAGTCATCTGGTGTCATGTTGGACTAGTCACTGCATAGTCCCTGTCCACTTGGTTCTAGTAGGATGCTGAGGGGAAGAATATCAGTGTAAAGGTGGGGAGATGGCTATGAGAGGCAGCTTGCGTGGATCCATCAGCCCAATGCTTCCATCATGTGGTGGTTCCCTGGAGGAACCTAGTTCAGAAGTCACACTTGAGTGTCTCTACAACACAGTGCAGAGCCTCCTGTAAGGGCGAATCTTTGTTTCTGAGCAGCTTTGCAGGCTGGTGGAAGTGCTCTGAGATTGGTGGCCCATGTCCTTGGTGCATTGCTCTAGCATGAGGGGAGGGGAGCAAGGGATGGAGGCTAGTCATCTACTCCATGGGAAAGGTACCCAAACTTGAACACTGTGGCTACTTTTGGTTCCCATGCAGTGCTCGTGTTCATGTTTCATGTTCACAGAGCTAAGACAGCTGACTGCTCACAGTCTTCCCTGAGGGACTTGCCTGAAACTTGCTTATGCTCTCCTTGGGTTTTTCTGCAAGGAACTCGTTCATTTGTCACTCAAGCACTTGCATTACTTCACTTGGAAACCTCTGTTTCTCTTCATGTTAACTATGGCTTTGTGGTTTTTTGTTTTTTGTTTTTTTTTTCTTCCTGCTGCTCACTCGGTTTCTTCCTCATTCTAGGTCTGGGGCCCCTTTCTTTTTTTGGAGGACTGCTGCCCTGTGGTTTAACCTCTTTGCAAGGCAGCTCCAGGGAAATCTCTTTGCAGACTGAGAGATTCAGCCTTTCACTCACCCTATCAACACATCTCACCCTCTAGGACTCGTGTGTCTTACAGACAAATCTGTTAACCAACATTTGGTTCATGGGACTTTTCTTTGTGTTCCTTCAACTCACTTTCTGCACTGACCTGAAGCAATGAAGTGAAAGGAGAGCTGCTACCTGGAGGACTCGGTGGGGCAGCAGAGCATGTAGTTCTGTAGAGAGCTGGGGAAAATGACTGGAGAATCTTTGGAAAGGGTAATAAAGAGTTGGTTTAACTTTAGAGCCAAATGTGGCCTATGGATTTGGTACTGAAGGAAAAGTGAAGTGGGTGAATGCTGCTCCTGGCTGCTGAGGGTGGCTGCTGTCTGTTTCTGAATGTACTTTAGTCTCTATTTTTCTGAGAAACTGGCTTGAACTGGGAGAGGCAGGCAGCTTAGGAGAATCTGCAGGGTGATACCTCTCATCTACAGGCCATGAAGTGAAAGCAAGAGTCCTGATGTAGCGGGGTTGTGGTGATTTCACTACCCCATCTAGCTCTCAACATTTCTGGGTGGCTAATCCTGAGCAGACCCAGCCTTGCCCAAACAGGACACCAGTCCCATCTCGAGCTCTTAGTCTTGTTTTACAGTATCTGCTGTGCTGTGTGCATGATGCTACAGGAAGTCTGCAGCAGCATGTTTGCTGCTATCTGTAATATCCAAGAGAAAAATTTGTCACAGCCACATCTGAATCAGCTTAAAACCCTTTGGCTGACAGGGGCGGGAGCGCCTGGGCTGTGGGAGGAGGACAAGAGCTGTTTGGGCTCTTGTCTCCATGGGATCCCCTACACACACATGCTGCATCTGCTGTGGATAGGGCTGGTGAATATTTCCAGTGCCATTTCCATCCGCCTCTTGCTTGTGCTGTGGGTATGTGGGTGCACCTCAGCAGCTTTGGGGTTGCGTCACTTGCTGGTAGCATGGTGCTACCCAGCAGCAGCTCCGTTGTTTTGAGTGGTTTTTTTTTCTTAATAAAAACTTAACATCTAGTGTTAAAATACTTTACGTGGGGAGGAGCTGCAAATATTTTCCTGTGTGGTGACTGAGGTGAAAAGAAGATGCTAGCACTGAATGGCTTGCTCAGGGATGGCTCTCCTATGTGCTGCTGGTGGCTGAATGTTGGTGGGGTGATGCGTTATGCTGCGGGCTCCTTCCAGCAGCACTCCCCAAGGGCAGAGCTGCTCCACTCCTGCAGGGCTGCCTGGCCTGCCCTAGCCAAGGGAGGTGCATGGGGGCTCTTGCACACCATTGGTCTGAGAAGGTCTCCATGCCCTTAAAGAGAAGGTGGATTTTCTGCTGAGCCACCCGAGAAGCCCTTTTATACCTCCTTCCCCGGCCAGCTGCTTGCGGCTTGCCAGTCAGTCCTGGCCGGCCAGCGGGGCTCTCTTTCCTCCTCCGGACTCGGGTGAGCCCTTATGCATGTCTCTTACTGACCAGCTTGCTCTTACTGGGGTGGCAGGGAGGCAGATTTGCTCACCTGAATGTTGGGGAGGTAAATGCTGGGTGAGATGAGCTGCTTGGAGAGATGGGGGTGCTGATAAATCCGTCTCTGTCCTGTGCGGGTCAGAGGGTCTGTGCACCGGGAGCTCTCCCTCTGCCTTTCCCAGCTGCCTTCTTTCCCTTTGGTTTCATCCTCACTTGGTTTTGCGCTCTGCCTTCATCTTCCTAACTCCTCCCCAGTAGGAAAAAGCATCCTCCACTGTAGCAACTTCACTTCTCCCCATCTGCACCCCCTCCCTCTGCCTGCTGCGTGCAGCCCCTTCCTCCCCAGATTGCCCCTCAGCACCCGAGTTTCCATAATTCAAAGGCTGGAGTCCCTGTTACTGACCATACCTTGCTATGGGGCTGATCTGGCACTGCTTCCCCATGCCCTTTGCGCTTTCAGTGCGGGTACACGGATATGGGAACGCCAGCAAAAATAGCTCCTGCTCCTCATCCACCTGTGGTGGCTTTTGCCTTGCATCGCCCCAACCTCCCTGAGTCACGGGGCCTGGCTGCGTCTGAGGAGACAGCTGCAGCTCCTTGTGCAGCTCCCCAGCCATTTTTAGAAGCACTTTTCCTCCCCCCGCTCTTCCCAGCAATGTGTTGTGCCCGCACATTTTCCAGGATAAGGTTTCCTCGGGGAGCTTGGCCCTGCAGCCTTTACCTCCTCCTTGGGCAACGACCCCCGTTAACATTTTGCCTCCCAGGTCTGCGGATTGCTGTCTATTAGGGGGTTCACTTCTCTATAAGGGAGTGGCTTCATCTGGGCTTGGCCAGTGCTCCTGCTGTACCCATACCCATGTGGGTATGAGCAGGAAACACTGCTCTGATAAGTAAAGCAGCATTAATGGGGAAGAATTGGCATCGAAAGGAACCTTTCCCTGAGAAATCTCCCCATGCCTTTGCCAACTCAGCAATAGCTTTCAGCACCATGCTTCGTTATCTGTGCTGAGCTTTCTCCCCTGCTCCATGCAATGCACACACGTGCTGGCAATCCTTGTCACCTATGGTCACTGCCTGGCTCTGTTCCCTATGCCAGAAGCCTCCCCAGCCTTTGGGATGATTGTTGTCCATGACGGTGTCAGTGCAGTTTTTCCCCTTTGGTAGACAACAAGATTGAAGCCTAAAATATTTGTGTTGAGTTTGCTACAGGCCTATACTATGAGGATTGTACAAAAGAACAACAGATGTATAATAGATTTTTTTCTCCTCCTTACTTCATTGTGTAGAGTGGTATATTGTCGAGTCAAGGAAAAAAAAAAAAGCCTATAGGGAGCACTGTCACAATCTCTCTTTTTTTAGCCACATGCACTTGTCCCAGTGCACGTCTGGCTGTGAGCTGGCACATGTTTACCTTTCATCCACCGACTGCAGCCCAGTTTCCTCTGTGATGGAAATTTGAAGAAGTTGGGAAATCTGAGCAAAGTTGTTGTTCCTCTTTTTGGTGTCTGGGGGGATCTTGCTTTGTTCTTAAACCCAAGAAAGCCAATGCTAGCATGAATAATTGTGAATTATTTTGGTTCTTGTTGCAGGTTCACAACCATCTAAAGCAAGATGTCTGAGTAAGTTCCCATTTTCTGTCTCCAGTGTGTTGCTGGTGTTCAAACTTTTGTTCAGCTGCCAACTTTTACATACATACTCCTCTGCTTGTTTCCAATGAGGATGCTAACTGCCTTTTTCTCTCCTTTCTCTTCTTTTCCTTCCTTGTCCATTTGCTCTCCCTGCACAGTGAAGAGGTAAGTGTGTCCTGATGGGCTTTTTCCTTCTGCAGAGCTCATAGCATCGATCCTTGCTTTGTAGTTCCTCTGTAGCAAAAGCAGTTGTGGAGTGGTGGGAGGAAAGAATGTCCCATGACCTGGCTTTCCTGATGCCTTCTGGAGAAGAAGGGAAGGACAAGCAAAGTCCCTTTTGAAGGTCTTTGCTGGCACTTGGATGCTTTCCCCCTTTCCTGCTTCCCTAGCCGGCCACGAGATGGTGCTGGGAAGCGCTGCCCGAACAACTGCAGGGCCGCATCTCATTTGTCAGCAGCGGGGATGCAAAAAATCCCACCTATGGTGCTGATATTCAATGGGTGCATTGGGTGCCCACTAGCCCAGTGACCCAGGGAAGGCTAGGAAAGCACTCTGAGACAAGGTAGCACTTTTCAGAAGGAGAACAAGCCCTTGGCTTGGAGTCCTCGAGGAACCTGAGCAAGATTCCTCTGGTTAATGGTGCATGATATCTCTAAGCTAGACGAAGATGAAGCTGGTTTGGGGACCAAATATGTGATGAGCTGTGGGATTGAGTAGGCAAGAGGAAAAGATGAAGGAATGCATCATAACTTACCTTGTTCTCATTTTTCCCTCCTGCAGAAAAAGAGGAGGGCAGCCACTGCCCGGCGGCAGCACCTGAAGGTATGTGGCACTGCTGGGGCTGGGCAGGGTGTGTCCTGAACATCCCATCTCCCATCTGGCCATTGGCACTCTCCTGCTTGGGAAAGACCATGATACACAGTGTGGAGTTCCCCATACCCTTTTCTGCACCTTACCATGTCATACAGCAAGACTCTGGTGTGGGGGGAGGCTGGGGTCAGCATCATCCTGAGTTTCCCAGAAGTCCCCATGAGTTCCCTTTGCTCAGAGATGCTGGTATTTTGGACATGGAGAGCCCCCATCCTGTTCTCTCCTTTGCCCCAAACCCATGTTGATCTCCCTCCCGCTGCTTTCCAGAGTGCTATGCTCCAGCTTGCTGTCACTGAAATAGAAAAGGAAGCAGCTGCTAAAGAAGTGGAAAAACAAAACTACCTGGCAGAGCATTGCCCTCCTCTGTCCCTTCCAGGATCCATGCAGGAACTTCAGGTAAAGACTCCATTTCAGAAAGTATAGGGCTCCACCCCACAGACTGCTGCATTTAGATTGTCCTTCCCATCATTTCCCATCCCTGTGGGCCTCCCTTCACTCAGCATCCATCTACTTTTCCTCCCAGGAACTATGCAAAAAGCTTCATGCCAAGATAGATTCAGTGGATGAGGAAAGGTATGACACAGAGGTGAAGCTACAGAAGACTAACAAGGAGGTGAGCATCCACTGGAGCATCCGGCTCATCCTTCATTCCACTCCATGCTGCTCACTGGTGCATGGTCTGTCTCACAAAACTCACGCTCTGCTCTTTCTGCCCACTTCTCTCTTCCCCACAGCTGGAAGACCTGAGCCAGAAGCTGTTTGACCTGAGAGGCAAGTTCAAGAGGCCACCCCTGCGCCGGGTGCGCATGTCGGCTGATGCCATGCTGCGTGCCCTGCTGGGTTCCAAGCACAAGGTCAACATGGACCTCCGGGCCAACCTGAAGCAAGTCAAGAAGGAGGACACGGAGAAGGTACCACTTCCACTCCCATTAAGGCATAAGCTCCCAAGTTTTGGGGATGACATCTCCCTGCAGGATAGACTGGCAGAGCTTGAGCTAATCTCAGTAATGTCCTTCCTGCCCCATGTTTCCTCCTCCAACTCCCATGCGGTTGTAAACAAGGAGTCCAGCCCTGAAAGACATACAGCAGGGGTGGAACTGGGAGTCTCTAGCTAAGTTTTCCAGGGGAGGTGAAATGTTGAGCACTTGTGGTGAGGGTTCCCATGGGTGGATGGGTGAAAAGACACTGTTTGGGTCAGTTGTTACCCCATGGATCCACCTCTTCATGCACACTTATCCCTTCTGCAGGAGAAGGACCTCCGTGATGTGGGTGACTGGAGGAAGAACATTGAGGAGAAATCTGGCATGGAGGGCAGGAAGAAGATGTTTGAGGCCGGCGAATCCTAAGCACTGGTCTCTCCACTCTTGCCATTTCCACCCTCTTCCATCCCCTCCTGAGCATGGCCACAGCTGTGAGCATGGCCACCTCCCTGCCCTGAACCTCAACATGTCCTCACCATGCATTGAACCCACTGACTGGGTGCTGTTTCTCTGATTTTGTGAAGAGCTGCAGTCTGGAAGCAGCGGTGTAAATAAAGCTTTCATGGGAGAGGGGGATGTGGCCTGCCGTGATGGGGCTGAGGGTGCTTAGGGCTGTGGGAACACACTGAGGACACCCATCTCCATTGGCAGGCTGCTTGACTTGATGGTCAGCAGCACAGGGGATTCCCCCACCTCCCTCTCTCTTGGCCTCCATCTTGTCATGGGGTAGAAAGGCCTCTCTTCTAAGCTGGAGATCCATTCTCTAACTCATAGCCTGCCCTCATGTCCCCCATTTCAGGAGCTTCCCTTCAGAAGCTACCAGGGCAGACAGAAGGGAGGGATGGAGACTGGGGGGTGGTGAGGAACCATCTGCCAGAGGAAGGAAACGGGTGAGATCATGCCACAGTGCTGTCAGCTGCTCTACCTCCTCCTGCTTCTGCTTCTTTTCTGGGGGGGAGGGGGAGTCTGTGGGTCAGGAGGTGGCTCCGATTTGTCCTTGCATCAGAGTTTGTGCCCATGATGCTGTGCTGTGTCCCCTCTCCATGTCCTTCATCTGGCCCAGAGCAAGGAGCACCTTTCTTTCTTCTCTCTCTGGATTGAGACCTGCTGCAAAGGTCACAGTCTGAGCAGTCTCCAGAAGCTGTCGCCATCCAAACCACTTCCCTGGGCACTTTTCCTAGGCCAACAAGCTCTGCACCCTATCTTGAGGCACACAGCATCTCATGCAGACCAGCTCCAGAGCTGGGGATAGACAGACTGCCTCTGCCAGGAGCTGAAGGGTTCTTACAGGGCTTTACTTCTGTCTATGAATAGGGTGTTTGGGCTCTGCTTCCCTGTGGATAAATGTGAGTTCAAGCTCTGGGAGATTCCACTGGGCCTCCACACTTGATGGCAATGGTACCTGTCTCAAAGGGCGGCAGAAGATGAGGGGAAGGACTACTAAAATCATCTAGTCCAACCATCAACCCATCTGCACCATGCCCACTAAGCCACATCACTCAATGCAACACTTATCCTTTTCTTGAATACCTCCAGGGACAGTGACTCCACCAGCTCCCTGGGCAGCCTGTTCCAATAACTCGAGGGAAGGAATGTTCTAGAACAAGATGTGAAGGGTGATAGCTGAAAGGTAGAAGCTTTCAGCCTTGGCACGGGGCAGGGGACACAGCCTATGCTGGCAGTGCACAACAACCATCTCCAGAACTGCAGGACATGTAAGGGGCAGCATATGCTGAGTGCCTGAAGCAGAGCGGGTTGTTATTTTGAGAGGTGTGTGATCAAGACTACCTTTGTGCCTGTGGTGATGGTGCCCAATTCACTGTAGGGTGATGCAGTTTAAGGCTGCAGTATTACCCCAAATTGGCCATGCCTGAACCATAAGTGGCTCTGGGGAGTAATGGGCTGCCATTCTTACTGCTGTGTGTGTGGGGGGTTGGGGGATGACCATGCCCCCAGCTGTCCCTTCATCTTAGCTTAATACTTCCTACTTTCAAAGCTTCTGACAGGCAAAATGTTAAAGTAATCCAAACGGTTGTTAAAAAAAATAATAATTTGCATTCCCTCTGCTCCTCTCCCTTCCCCCCCGAACCCTCAACCCACAAAGTTTCCGGCACAGCTCACTTCTGCTGAGCGCAGGAAGAGCAAAGCAGCGGCGGCAGCACCGCCTTGCATCATCCCTTCGTGCCAGCCAGGAGGGGATATGTCGGACCCTGAGGAGTGCCAGGAGGGTGCAGGAGGCACAGATCAAGTGGGAGATGAATCCTACCAGGAGACTGAGAGGTGAAGCTGGGGAGCCCAACATCTGTGAAAGTGGGAGGATGGGGAGTTGGGTTTGTTGGTGGGGAAGGAAGTCTGTGGGGCTGAAATGAAGAGGATCCATGGGACATAAAAGTGGCCAGATGCTTTTGGAGAGGCCTTCCAGATAGGGCAAGATTTGGACTTCTCCTCGGTCCTATCTCCATTGAACTTCAAGGCCAATGGGAAGTTGATGCAATGGAAAACCTGTCCTCCATCACATGTGAGGTCAGCGACGGGTCTGGCTATGAGACTCAGGGCTGCCTTAGTGCTTTGCTGTTGAAACCTATCTTTAAGATGAGGTGGGGACAGATCCTGCTGTTCTCATGTGTGCACATGAACGGAGCGCTTTTGCGGGAAGGAAATTGAAAGTGGGAGGTCTGCCCAAGCCCCTCTTACTGTCTGCTACAGCTCGAGTGACCTTTGCTGGGCATGTCCTTGGAGACATTCAAGGTCAGGCTGAAAATGGCTCTGAGCAACCTGATGTAGCTGTAGGCATCCCTGTTCATTGCAGGGGAGTTGAACCAAATGACCTTTAAGGGTCCATTCTAACTCAAATGATTCTATGACTTGTGACACTGGATGCAGCTGTGGGATGGGGTTGAGAGATGATGCTTCTCTGAGGGTCTGATTTCTTTTTGCGTTGACTATTCCTGTAAGCTGAATTAACTGGGACATTTTTCAGGCTGTCTGCTGCCTTTTGTCAGTTTACACATCTCTCTCTTCCCCTGATCTGCTTTATTGCTTTATCAACAGAGATTAAAAAATTGCTCTGTTCACTCTACAATGGACAGCTTTTCATGGGGGTTAAAAGGGAAAGAGTAGCAGCAGAGACCAAATTACAGCTGCCCCTAATAAGGGAGGCAGAGATAAGCTGGGCTGAAAATCACACAAAAGAATTCAGACTGGGACTCGCTGGGTTTAGTCTGAGCATCCACAGAGCTTGGGGGGTTGCCTGGTTTTCTCCTCCAGCTTCAAAGCTCATATTAACATTTCTCCCAAAGGCAGCACGCTTCACATTGATAGAAAAACACCCCCTGAGTGACAGTAAGAGGAGAAAGACGTGTCATCTCCCATCACTAATGATTGCAGTGTTTTGGCTGACACCTGACAGCAATTAGCCTTGGCTGAAGCCTTGACTGGAAGCATCAAAAGGTGCAAAGCCTCAGCACGCTCAGCTGCCTGCAGAAATAAAGAGGGTTTGCTGCTGGGGGAGTGGGGTGATGGTTCAGCATGGCACATGCAATCCCAGGCTGTGCTCTGTGCACCCAGAAGGAGGATGGAGCATGGAGCAGTTGTTGGGGTATCTGGATCAGCCAAGCCTTCAATTTGTGTTGTGTTGGCTCAGGTGGGGCCATGCAGCAGCATCAGCTGCTAAGGCAAGGCCAAGTTTATCTTTTCTCTGTTTCCTGCTGGAGTTTCCCATAAATAAAGTAGGAAGTGATCTGTTCTTTGTAAACAGTGAAATTTTATTAAACTTGCTGCAAAGTTGTGTTTGTGAGTACTGATCAAAGGGTGGTGCAGACCTTTCTTTTCAGCTGAATTTAAATTAAAAAAAAAAAAACTAAATATGATGGGGGGAAAAAATAGAGAGCAAAGTAATGTTTGGTTTGGAAAACAGAGAACTGATATCCTTCCTGATTTGTATAATGGCTTCCTATATAGCTCTGAACTTCTCCTGCTTTTGTTTGCAATTAAATGTTGCTAGGTTCTCATGATTTCCACTCCCAAAATGAAGGGAGGAAGTGTTTGTTTGCTGCTTGGGGCTACGCTTTCTCACCCTGAGGCTAGCTCAGCTTTCTGATCTCCTCAGCTTAGGCAAAAGCTCTTTGCAAACTGGGGTTATGCTCTTCTGTGAGCTGCCATCACTCTATGGGAAGACTGAGCAGCGTGAACCTGATGCCTTGCAGGACATCCCATTGGAGCATGGCTCATGAGCAGGCTTTGCTGTGGAGCTACAGGCTGTGAGATGAGAGATCACCTCCTAAATTCTCCTGCTTCCTTCTTGCTGGGACTGCAGGAAGCCCTCAGCAGCCCATGTATGGTCAGCAGCAAGGGAAGGGTGATGCTGTGCCAGCAGCCTCAGGCTTTTCCTTGCCCCAGCTGTCTCAAATTCTCTGGATCATTGGAGGAGCCTCAAGAGCCCTTGCTAAGATGACTCTTGTTGCTAAGTATACCCATAGCTGTAAGCAGCTTGGTCAGGAAAACTGATATGGGGAAGTCCTCAGCATGTTGGATTCCTTTGCAGAAGGATGGCCAATCCCTGCTTGGGAGTAACTGGTCCAAGTCTGACCCAGCTGGGTGCATTGGCGTGAGAAGGAGTAGGAGAACAAACAAAGGAGGGCCAGCAGACTTCAGCTGGAAAATTCCATGAAACTGGGCAATACTTCAGCATTTCTATATTGGATATAGGTGCTCTGGCTGGGTTGTTAGGGATGAAGAGCTGCCTCTAATTATAGGGACGTATCAGGTGCCTTCACTGCCCCTTTCTACTTTCAGGAAAGCTTGCCTCTGAGCCTAGTTTGCAATGTAAAGCCATAGGTTTGGTGTATTAGTTAAGTAGGTGATTGCCCTGGAGGTCTTATTTGAAATTTTTAACTGCACAAGACTGTGCTGGCTGGAAGGCTGTAGAAAAGGGGGAAAAAAAGTGGGAATTTTTTCCAGCAGGTTGTTTTAAAACGTTCTGAGGTGAAATCTAGCTCTGAAGCCTGTGGGATTCCCTTCTCCATGGATTATGGAGAGAGCTTATTGTGGAACTGGGTGTGAAGGCATAGTGGGGGAAGTCTGGGTTGGGAGAGCTGGAGATCCAGAGGATCCCAGGAGGAGGCTTTGCCAAAATCCACTGTTGTGATGGGATGAGACTTCTGGCTGATGGGACACCAAACCCCTCCAACATCCCAGCCTTGCACACATCATCCCTATCACCCTGTTTCCTTATCTCTAACCTGACAAGCTCCTTCTAGGACTGAGCCTCTGAACTCACTGATGTGGTGCCTTGGCATCCTTTGAAGCCAGAAGTGTGAGGAATGGTTTCTCATGGGGTACCTCTGTTGTGTTTCCTCAATCCTTTCATGAAGAGAAACCCTGAGGCTGTGCTGCAATGAAAGCAAGCATAAGGATGTACTGTCTGATAGGGAATCTGGGGCCTTCACTGCTAGGAAGTCAGTTCTGTGTGGTGTGACCCCAGTGTGATGTGTACTAGAATAGCACCAGTATCAACTTGGTGAGTGCTCTTCAGTTTGCAGTCTATACCCATGGCACGCAGTGCAAAGAGGAAGGGTTATCTTTACTGTAAGGCCAGGGGACCAAGGTTGGCATCTTTATGAAGGGAAAGAAATACCTTAGCCATGGGATTTGTACTGTGCCAGTTAACAGGTATGGGCAATCCCTTACTGGGACACCTGCCAGGGCTTGGATATCTCCAATGGCACTTGACACCTATTTTTAGGCAACAGAATTGCTCTGAGCTCCCAAAACCAGAGATTTGTGTTGAGCTCTCCTGCTTATTAGCAGGTGTTTCTCAACTCTCGTGCTCTCTGGGTGCTCCATGGAGATGCAGCCACCAAGGGGTTAACCAGCCCTGCTTGGA